GGGGGGGGGGGGGGGGGGGGGTTCAACGTTCAGTTCAACATAAAAATGAGAAAATATATATATATGCTGTGCGCACGTGGCGCATATGCGTCCCCGCAGCGCGCAACCCCCAGCGCACCCGCGCTCGGCGCACCAGCCCTGTGCGCAGCGCATCCCGCATCGCGCACACGCACCCAGGTGCGCGCGCACCTCGGGTCCGCGCTCCGCGCAGCGCACAGGGTCGATGCGCCGCAAGTATGGTCGTGATAGATTGATTAGAGCACACTAGTTAGCCCACCAAATCACGATTTTGACCTTATTGCCGAAAATCGAATTTTTTTTTTCTTTTCTTGGATTTTGTTTTCTCGCTATTCTGTTGTCGAAAATCGCAATAGCGCAACATCTGAAATTTCCATTTTCGTTTTTCTTCTGAAAATTCAAAATTTTGTTGTTGAAAATCCGGAATATCCTTCTTTTCGAAAATTTCGATTTCCTGTTGCATTTCCCGTTACTTAGAAATTCGGAATATCTTCTTTTTCGAAATTCGTTTTTCTGAAAACGGTACGGGAAATCCCTCCTGCAGGTATGATTTTCCAAACTGCGAATACTCTCATCTGAGTAAATCCGAATACTTGTCATTTCTTTTCGGAAAAAAAATTCGCAGTTCTAGGATTCTGTTAGTCAGTTCTATAAATCATTTGCAGTCTGAAGTTCGAAATTTTTCTCATTGATAGTTTCACACTTCAAGGGAGGTTGGGAGACCTACTGAACTAAAACTCGGGATTTTTATTTTTCTCGAATTTTTTTTGCAAAGTTCAAACTTTTCTTTTTGATTAGTGGCTCCTTATCTGGGCGTTATCTGGGCGATTATCCCACCCATCCCTCCCTACCTATGTTGTTGCCCCCTCTGGTCTTCCCTTCTCTATCTATCTCCGGGTAACCCCTGCGGTGGCATTGGTGAGTTGCCACATCAGCAGGCCACGTCAGCAGACTACGTCAGCACGCCACGTCAGCAGGCCACGTCAGCCGACAGCAGCGCCACATCAGCAACAGGGAATACCACGTCAGCAGGCCCAGACCTGGTCTATGCTGTTGCGTTCACATACAGCCGTCATGGACCAGAGGTCCAGAGAAGCAGACGAGGCCTATCACGCCCGGATGCTGGCCTGGAGTACCGAAACAAAGAGACGGGCAGATGACACAGCAACAGCAGCGAAGAAGAAGGCAGAGGACGCCGAGCAGGCACGTCTGCTGGCAATTGAACAACAGCGCCAGCATGACGAGGCAACAGCAAAGGCTGCCGATGAAGAAGGAATCCAACGTCGTGAGAAGATATTTAACAGAGAGCAGACCTTGCTCACAATGGCAGCGGAATGGCGGACCGAGGCCGAGAATGGCAAGATGGAGGATAGCGAAAATAAGATCGCTCTACTCCTCTCCCATCTCACGGACCTCCTGGCGACATGCATTACACAGCAGGAGGACATTGACAGCCTCGACGACTCGCTGGCTCAAGTCCACGGCCGCCTCCGGCAGCTGGAGCAGCGACCTGTCGCCGCCCCCGATACAAGCTCTTCCAACACCTCCGATCGCCTCGAAGCATTGGAGATGGACGTCGGCTCCCTCAAGGACGGCGCGCAGTTACAGCAGACCGCAACGCAACAGTTGGAACAACGGATCTGCACTGCCGCCAACCACTCGAGTTCGGAACTATGCGAGACAGCTCCAAAGTTCGACGGGCAGGAGATCTTCTGCGACTCGACAAAGACAGATCCAATTTCATGGTTCCGCAAGTTCGAGCTCACACTGCAGCTACACTACGTCAAAGAACACAAGCACCACACGTACTTATACTCCCGCTCGGGGGGCGCATGCCAGGCATGGTTGGACAATCTCTTGTCCAAGTCCGGAGTGGTAGCTGCCGACTTGCACACCAAGATCAGTTGGGATGATCTGAAGGCGGCGTGGCACAAGCGGTTCCATGTAGAGCCGCTGGAGATCAAGGCAATGGACAAGCTAATGGTCTTCGAACAAGGCACGCTGCCGAGTGTCGACTGGATTGCCGAGTACCAACGCTTGACATCAGTCCCGGACATCCAAATGGGCTTCAAAAACATCCGCCACTATTTCATCTCAAGGTCCTGTCCAGCATTAAGCAATGCCCTGACTCACGTCGAGGACACCGTGACGACAACGACGAAACTCTTTGACAAGGCCGCGCAGATTATCATCACGAACAAGGAAGCTAAGAACCTGCGTCCGTCTGCGCCAGGCCCGAGCAGAGACCAGCATCGGCCAAGAGTGGCTGTGGTCGCGGCGACAACGCCGTTTGACCAAACTTGTAGCGAGGCCGTGTCTGCCAATGAAGGAGACAGTCTCGCAGCCGCCCGGGAAGGTGGCCGCCCCAGCAAAGGCCGAGGACGCGGCAAGACGAAGACACACACCGCATCTAGCCCCAGGCCCGACGCAGCAGCTCAAGCCCCATGGTCCCAATACGGCATCTCCGAGCAAGCATTCAAAGCGCGCACAAGATTCCACTATTGCCTATGGTGCAACAACGATCTCCATGAGACACTGGCCTGCCCGTTGAAAGGCAAGGGCAAACAGGGAAATTGAGCACCGCCGAGAGTGACTCGACGACACTCTCGACGACTCCGGAACCGGTCTCTTCACGAGTGACCGGCCTTCATTCTGAGGCACATGCGGAAGTCGGTAGTCCTCCTCTTCTGTATTCTTTTGAGGACTATGCTGCCCGACTCGTTCCTACGCTGGGTACTCAAGCTCAAGGACACGACGTGTGTGCGGCATCTTCTCCGTCCGGCAGCGGCGACTTATCGTCTTCAAGTGGTTCTTCACGGGATTCGGCGCGTGAGTTCAACATAGAGGTATTGGACCCGCTCACGTCCGCGGACTTCGCATGGCTTCCTCTCCCGACCACGGGCCGCCTGCCGGGACCACAATGCGCAGCACTATGCGCTCATCTCCACATATACTTATCCTTCTATGCACCACCAACTTCGCCGACGGATGACGAAGTCGTGGTGGGGGACATCCTTGCATATGTTACCAAGGTGGCCTGTGAGTTTCGCACGCAGTGGTACGATGACAACAAGGCACCGCTCATGTATGTCCGCATTCAGGTTGGGCAAGCGTCCTGCAACGCTTTGCTGGATAGCGGCGCGTCTCGCAATTTCATGAGCCAAGCCTTTATGCAAAGGGGTGGCCTTGGCGCACAAGTTTGGAGGAAGGCAAACCCGACGACGATCAAGTTGGCGGATGGAAAGACGCAATAACTTCTCGACCGTTACATCGAGGCCGTACCGGTTTATTTCGCACCTCATGCATGCGAACCGGTGACGTTCGACATTTTGGACATGGATTTCGACATCATTCTGGGAATGCCTTGGCTTGCAAGTGCGGATCACACGGTCAACTTCCACCGGCGGCCTCTTAGCGTTCGCGACGCCTTCGAAGTGGCGTGTACTATTCCTCTACCGCACCCTTCGATTCGGTGCCAAGTGGTGACGGCCAAATCATTCCGGGCGACTTGCGTTTACGAGCAGCCCGAGGAGATCGGCCTATGTTTCCTACGGACCGTCCCGGTAGCCGACTCTTCACCCACAGACTTGTCTTCGGACCCCCGGGTGGTGCGATTGCTGGACGAGTTCGCCRACATCTTCGAGTCACCTACCGGTGTGGTGCCGGATCGGCCGATCTCTCACGAGATCATTCTTGAGGCCGGTGCCGTGCCGCCGAAAGGTTGCATCTATCGGATGAGCGAGGAGGAGCTTGAGGTCCTCCGCGCACAACTCGACGATTTGTTGGCCAAGGGTTGGATCCGCCCTAGTAGCTCCCCATATGGAGCACCAGTTCTCTTCGTTCGGAAGAAGAACAAGGATCTACGTTTATGCATCGACTACCGCAAGCTCAACGCGCAAACCGTCAAGAATGCGGGGCCTCTTCCTCGCATCGACGATCTTCTTGAGCGATTGGGCGGTGCAAAGTATTTTTCTAAGTTGGATTTGAAATCGGGATATCATCAAATCTCGATCTGGCCGAATGATTGCTACAAATCCGCGTTCAAGACGTGGTACAGGCATTTTGAGTGGGTGGTCATGCCTTTTGGCCTCACCAACGCCCCAACGACCTTTCAAGCGGCAATGACCAACGAGTTCCGTGCAATGTTGGACCGGTTCGTGCTGGTCTACTTAGACGATATTCTCGTTTATAGCCGGACATTGGAGGATCATCTTGGGCATCTTCGACGAGTGTTGGAGACGCTCCGACGCGCCAAGTACAGGGCCAACCGCGACAAGTGCGAATTTGTCCGACAAGAGCTGGAATACTTGGGCCATTTTGTCACACCGGAGGGCATCAGTCCGCTATCGGACAAGATTCAAGCCATCCAAGAGTGGTCGGAGCCTCGTAACGTCACAGATGTCCGTTCGTTCCTTGGCCTCGCCTGCTACTACCAACGTTTTATGAAAGGGTACTCGAAGATCGCAACCCACTTGACCAAGCTTCAATGCGAGGATCGACCGTTTGACTTCGGAGAGGAGGCGCGGGAATCATTTTTGGCTCTCAAAGCCGCGCTATTATCTGCGGAGGTCTTGCGGATATACGACCCGCTTTTGCCTACGCGCGTCACTACGGATGCGTCAGGCTATGGCATTGGTGCAGTCCTCAAGCAACATGATGGTGTGGACTGGCACCCGGTCGAGTATTTCAGCAAGAAAGTGCCCATCGTGCATTCCATTGACGATGCACGCAACAAGGAGCTCCTCGCCTTCGTCCACACGCTCAAGTGGTGGCGGCACTTCCTCCTTGGTCGAAGCCAATTCCGATGGGTAACGCACAACAATCCGTTGGTCTTCTATAAGACCCAAGACACCGTCAACAACACCATCGCTCGATGGATGGCTTTCATCGACCAGTTCGACTTCTTTCCCGATCACATTCCCGGGAAGTCGAACCGTTTTGCGGATGCTCTTTCACGGCGTCCGGATCATTGTACCGCGGTCTACTCAACCTTCGAGATCGACGATGACCTGCGGAACAGCTTCATCCGCGGCTACCAAGTCGACCCCGAGTTCCGCGACAAGTACGCGAATCGCTCCTCTCCTAATCCGGCGCCTTCTCACTACCGGATCCAAGAGGGATACTTGCTTGTCCACACACGGGGGAAGGGCCTTCTTTGCGTACCGAGTGATCCACACTTGCGTACACGGCTTCTTGGCGAGTTCCACGATGCTCCCGCCACCGGAAACTTTGGAGTCAATCGCACGATTGGCCGACTTCGCGAGCGATTTTGGTGGCCCGGCCTTCTTGGCGACGTCACACGCTATTGCGAGTCATGCAAGGTTTGCCGACGCTGCAAATCCCGCAACCACCGTTCGTACGGCGAGTTACGACCATTACCGATCCCTTTGAGGCGAAGGGAAGCGATTGCCATGGACATTACCGGCCCGTTCCCCAAGCACAAGACCGGCATGGATGGGATTCTCATCGTGGTCGACCGACTCACCAAGTTTGCCATGTTTTTGCCTTTCCGTAATCATGCCAAGGCACCGGAGTTGGCCGAGGTTCTTTACGCCGGTTGGATTCGAACCAAGGGTTACCCAAGGAAATCGTCTGTGACCGCGACAGTCGGTTCATATCCGATTTTTGGTTGGCGCTCATCAAGCGATGGGGCTCATCTCTCAAGCCCAGTTCAACTCGCCACCCCCAGACCGATGGCCAAAAGGAGAGGGCGCACCAGACCGCACAGGTTCTCCTTCGCACTCTCATCCGTCCTGACCAGAAGGATTGGGTTGAGCGGCTGCCGGATGTCGAGTTGGCCTACAACTCCTCCATCCACCCGGCTATCGGGATGTCGCCCTTCGAGTTCGAGCACGGCTCGCCGGTCACTTCACCATTGGACACTATCACTCCACGAACGACCGAGAGCGACGACCATCTTCTTTTCTTGCGTCGGATGCAAGAGCTTCTTGTCAAGGCACGCGACCAGATGGCTAAGACGGAGCAGAGCATGAGCCAGCAGGCCAATCACCAGCGTCTTCCTTGCCCATTTCGCGTCGGCGACCTCGTTTGGGTTTCCGCAACGGAATTCAGCCTTGAACAAGACATCTCTCGCAAGCTCCTCCCGAAATGGATGGGGCCTTGGCCGATCGTAGCACCCGCTGGGGACACACCCAAGGGACCTTCCTTCACGATTCAGGTGCCCGCCCACTTCCCCGTCTACCAGAGGTGGCAACTGGGTAACCGTTGCCCGTACCCGACGGTACCCAACTGTAACCGGCAGGTTATGGGGAGGTACGGGGGTACCGTTCTGGAGGGGGGCATCAGTATGGGCAGGCATAAATTTTATTTGTGGATTTCAGGGCAGGCACGGTTGCACAGCGTGGAGATCACGGGCAGGCATGAGCGGGTACTGGCGGTGAAAAGGGGAAAAACGTAGGTATGGCCGGCCAAAAAAAAAAAAAGCATGGGTACAGTCATTATAGGGTGGTGAAAAAAAAAAATCAGATGGGTATGGGCGCGTAAGCAATTCTGCCAGGTAACCGTACGTAATATCCACCTTCCCCCCCCTCTTCCCAGGAAATATGCAGACCGGCGCAGCTGTTTTTTTCTTAGGCACAATTTTTTTCCTGGCGCGAACGACGAGGAAAAGATTTCAGGAAATAGCCTCCCAACTTCGAAATTGGCCACTTTCGAAATTGGAAGGCTCCAGCCTTGCCTCAGGGAGTTCCCCCTTGGAAATTGGCCGCCTGCCATGGTTGTACCCGCCGCCCTTCTGTGTCCATGCCACTGCATGGCCATCATCCGCCCGTCGTGGTTGTGCCCGCTGCCGTTCTGTGTGTGCTGCATGGCTGAGAGAGAGAGAGAGAGAGAGAGAGAGAGAGAGAGAGAGAGAGAGAGAGAGAGAGAGAGAGAGAGAG